CTTGTCATAAAGATGTTATTGATAATTCCTGTCCTTCCTTGATTCCCAGGTGGTTTCAGGAGAGAATGCCTCAGTGCAAACAACAATAGGTACAAAATGGAGACAGAGATAGCAAAGCTTTCCTCCTGTTAGTTGATTCACCCATAGCACCCATAGCAATTTAAGCAACTCTTACAGTGACTGTCCACACAGAGACTTCTGCAACTGAGGGGACTCTGCAGAAGAAGTAAGAGGAAAAGGACATGAGCAGATAATTTCCTTTTAGGAAATTGTCCTCAAGATGTGTTCAGGGAAGCACTTATTCCTGCAATATATAATGACCCTCTGACTCTATCAGACATCTAGTAGACTGAGTTCTGTGAATTGAATTTAACCTTATCTTGGATTCCAACTGTGGGTCCTTCTTTCCCACTTAGTATAGCCCATGAGGTCACATTGCCTGCTCTTCCTTGAGAACACTTTGTTACCCATGTTTCAAGCACTGGTATGAAGCTGTTACCAATATCTTAATCATTGTGTCTCATTGCTATACCAATGTTTTAACCATGGAGAATTATGCATCAGATAAGAATAAATTCTGAGATGCCCTAAATTTACTTACAAAGGCCCCAAGGATGGGAGAGGTTAACAAGTAACAAATAACAGGCCAAAAAGAACAAAAAAAAAACCCCATTTCACATTCTTGAACTTAAGTTAAAACCTTAACTGTAATCCTGGCCTAGCACTGTGGGTTCCATGTACACTGCAGGAAGTCCCCAGCCAATCCAGAGGCAGCACTTGTTTCTCCTTAGGATGCCCTCCCATCTCAACCTCTCCCTGCTTCCTGTAATCCTGCCCATCTTCTACACAGTCAATGTAGTTTCCATGTAAACAACTTCTGCCTATCTTCCTCAAATTTTCATTATAAAATACTATGCCTTTCTAGACCTACCACACATTTTTTCCAATAGCTACCTTGCCTTGCTCCTGGAGGTTGTGGTACCATTGGGATCAGTGTTTTCTTTCTGGCTAGCATCTGTAATGGCTCAATTAATCCTTTTATTTCACAGCTCTCTGTGTCTCAGGAGTTTTGATTTAACATAGCCTTTCTAAAGGTAGTCAAGGCTGTTTTCTCTATTATACTTACATTTTGTTTCATGTATTAATTTTGTTTTTAATTATTAGTGTTCACTTCTCTTGAAATGTTGAGCTAGTCTTTGAGAAAACTTTTTTTCTTTTTGGTCCAAACCAAAAAAATGTTTGGACATTGTATGTTTCCTTAAATCTTAATCTTAAGTTACTGTCTAAAAAAATTGTATCTAATTCTTTGATGCCTTCTATATAGCTAGTAAGTTATCTCTTATTTCTCTTATAAAATTTCATCCTTTAGTGATATAGGCAAACATTGACCATATTTCTAAGTCCTTCAGCATCCTGTCTGACTTCACTAGATCCCAGAGGTGCTTCTCAAATTTTTGTTGATGTGTGTGGGACAGTGTCCATTATTTCTTCGGTTCATGCTTTACCTTTGTCTTTACCACAGGAGTAGAAGACTACTAAATGCATTTCCCCAAACCCCTTGCGAGCTGGCATCCAATGAAGGCAGAAGATGAAGACTAGAGGAAAGAAACCATTTTGCTTTTCCTTACTCGTTTGCATCTGGGTTAGTGACTATAGCAGCAGGGACAATAGCAACAGTGGTGACAGCAACAGTAACATCAGCTGTTTGAGCAAGCACATAGAAGCAAGGTGTCTGTTAAATGCAGGTTAATGGACTCTTGGTAAACCTTTTTCTTTTTTGTCTTCCAGCTCTAGATATGTTAGTAGTTTAGTGTAATGCCAGACCTTGCGTAACCTAGTCTTCCCTGTTCAAGCCAATTCCAGACTTCTATAACAGACTGCCTATAATAAATGCCCTCTTTATCAAGCACCTAGATGTTACTAATTTTCTGATTGGGCAGGAAGTAATGCATGATGTAAGGAGTGAGCATGTGTGTGCAACATGAGCTGATGGCTTGTGCTCTGGAAAGCACCATATCCTAGGAAAACTTTCAAGGAAGACTCAGTTGACAATCTTAACTCTGCATGCAACTGTTCTTATCTCTTGGCAGAAAATCACCAACCTCTCAGATCCGGTGCAAGGTTTTGTGGTATTCCCTGGCATTTATAGAGTCTTGTCTGTGTAATGTTTATTTCCCAGGAGATCACAAAGCTTTTATATATGTTGAGCCCTTTCTTCCTCTTCCTCCTCTTCATCTTCTATTTTCCTTCTTCTTTTTCTCCTCCTCCTGCTTCTTATTTTTCTTCTCCTTTTTTGCCTTGGTAGTACTGGGGATTGAATTCAGGGCACATGCTAGGTAGGTGTTCTGCCACTTGAGCCCTTTCTTCTTTAAGGCATATAATTTATCACTCTTATCTCCCTGTGTTTGCTTCTTCCCCTCAGTCTAAGAGTTTTCGATTCATGATTTTCTTTTGGTATCTCTGCTTCCATTTTCTCTACGAACTCTTCCTCTTTGCAGATAAGCTCGTATTAAGATAAGGAAGATTCTTGAAAAAGATAGGAAGTCTATAGTAATAATGCTGTTACAGAGGAAGGAAGGTCAATGCAGACTGTACCTTGTGCCACAGGTGCATTATTATTGTGTAGCTTATAACCACCATTAAATACAGAGAACATCTTATCTTCCCCACCCAAATGAAAAAGGCCATTATCTACACATATGGGATGATTCCATAGTGTAGGCACCACAATCAACTTCACATCCATAGCTCCATATTTAGGAACCATTCCTTCACTATTCTGAGCAATGGAGATGGGGGTTACTAACTCCAAATGTGGGAAGTAGTCACACATGAATGAGCTTGTGCCCTGGAAAGCATCATATCCTAGAAAAACTTGATGCCACACTGATCTCAATAGACAATGGTGCATGTTGAACTGATGGATTCTTCACCTTCAGTGCTCAGGATCTGTTTCCATGTACTTTTCTCTACCATGTTTGTATATTATGCAGATATGATTGATTAAGAAGTTGACCTCTCCCCCTCACATATAGCCTCTTTTTGAGACAGAGTCTTGCTATGTAGCCTAGACTGGCCTCAAACTTATGATCCTCCTACCTTAGCTTTCCAAATGCTGGGATTGTACACCCAGTGAAGTTGACCCTTGATTAGACACAAAACTTGGAAGAAAAAAAATACTGCGCAGTCAGATGTCATAGAGAAGCAGGGAAAGGCATGCAGCCAAGCTTCCCAGCTCTTTGTTTCACCATGAGATGTTGCTTGGGTATTAGCTTGTCAACAGACTGAATTTCCACCACCGCTGCAAGAGGACTCTGCAAAGACACTGCATTGAGTATGAATGCCAGCCTTTAAAAAGGTTGTACCACAACACGAAGTAAGTTCATTTTAACTGAATTGGTCTTTTTGTTGCAGATTTATTTAATTTGTAGATGTTTTTCGCCCAGAATTCCCTAGGCATTTTAATACAGGGCACTTGAGTAGGTAAGATAGATTTCTTCAGCAATAGCCCAAGAAAAGCATAAGGAACTGTTACCAGAAGAAAGATCACCAGTCATTTCCTTATGCTGGTTGAGGACAGAAGAAATCTTCCCAGCTTTGGAGAATATTTATTCTGTGCTCTACAGATCTGGAAAGTGGGAGGAGGGTTATTGAGATGATTTGAGTGCGAGATAGAGTGTAGGTTTCAGAGAGAACACTGAAAGAGTTTATCTTGATCATTCTGGAGTGCCCACTGAAGGAAAATAGTTTTAAATATCATATTTATGGTTTAATTTATAAGTTTATATTCTGGAGACAGTGTACAAAAGGATACTGACTGATGTTTTTCTAGTAAAGTTCTCTTTTGAAAGATCTGTTAGATCTGTGGTCAGAATCTTCACACATTTGAAATGCTTTTTAAGCATGTGTGTGGGGTGTGCCATTGTGTGTGTTGTGTGTATGTGTGTGTATACTGTTAGTGAACAAAAAGGAACAAACTCAAGTCTGTTGGGCATGCAACTTCTATAATAGCTTCTTTTCTGCAGTTAGCTTGTGGTACAGTTATTGACAACAGTCTGATTATGTCTAGATATGGCTGTATTTAATTTGCTGTGTTCTCATGTTCTGTCATTATGTAGTTTGTACTGCTGATAAAGGCAAAGGAATGAGAAGAAAGGGAAATCTCGGGCTTCTACTGTTTGCCATGGTCACACTATTCTGATATGTTCATTCTTCCCAAGTTATTATTTCTTCTTATTATATACACTTCAGATTCTAAATCACTGGCAAGAGAGACTTAAAGCAGATGCAACTGCTTCATTCTGTAATCTTGGCAGGCAAGTGGAAAGGAGCATGACTAAGTTTACTATTTTACTTTATAGTAGAGTGCTATAATATTGCAGATTGAAATGTGTAAGAAATGGAGAAAGATGTAAAGATATACTGCTACTAAAAATCATTATTTTAAGGAATATTTAATGAGCTGGGAAGGCCCACAACACATATATTGGTCATCATCTTTTTCTCAAGTCATATACAATGTACACAGGTACACAGAAGAAAAACCCTAAATAAATAAAAAGGAAGCCAATCAAATGCAAGTAATAGAGATGGGTAATCATATTTTTCTTCTCCAATTTTTAAATTTTCCAAATTTTTCCAAAATGACATATACATATAGCTTTTAGAATCAGATAAGATGATAACATTATTTAAAATTATCAAGAAGTAGCTACTGATGTGGTATGGCTCTATGAGCCACCTGTTCCAAACACAGTGAAGCAGAAACACAGGATTCTGAATTATTCCTTCCATAATAAGGAATGAAATAGGAAAAGATGCAGAATGAAGTAACCTGGTGAGGTCCAATTAGTTGGAAACATGAGAAAATGTTCTTATTTCTTGGAATAAATAACACTTATTTATTTACTTACTTATTTTCTTAGGTCTATCCCCAAATTGATTGAACAAATGAAAATTTATGCTATGCTTTGTTATTCCTTGAAAGTACAGGATCAAGGATGGGAAGAAACTGGAAACGACAACAAAATCTCCAGAATGTTCTGCAAATTCCTCATATCTCAGTCCCTCCCTCAGCTTCTGACACCTCCCTGCTGAAGGTACAGCATTTTACTCACACATGAAGGGGCCTTGTCTGTCTTTTCTTCGAAGCTTGAGGACTTTTTCTAATGTCTTGTTTATACACCATTAGGGAGAATTCATGCAAGTGTGTGCTCAAGGCTGCAGGAGTAAAGGAATGAGCACACACTAATCCTAAACCCACCCCATTGCAGGAACTCTGGGAAACTGCCACCTCTTTGTGGCTGACTTGCTACCAGTTTGGGGAAACTCACTAATTGGTAACACTGTGGCATCCAGTTAGAGAGCTGTTAACTCCTTTTTGTTCCACGTTAGTTAACAGCCATTCTCAATAGATGCTCTATAAAAATTCAGTTCTTTGCCATGCCTTCAAGGGAGGATAGGCAACAGGGTAAGAATGTTTAGAAACATTATCTGCTACTTGTCATTTACGATATTTACAGTTATACTAAGAAAAAAGAAGTAGGCATGTTTTTCCTTTATAAAACCATAACTTTTAAGGTTTTACCTTACATAATAGAAATAGCTTTGCTCTTGAAATTAGCTTGCAATTTTCATATTATCTTGCCTTCAATCATTTGAAAAGCTTAATTAGTTATTCAGGAGAGGAATACATTTTCTTCTTCAAATTCAGAAATTGTAAGACTGAAATAATGTCTCAAATTTTGACACACTTGACTTTGCTACTTTTCCTCTGCTTTATTTTCAATATCAAATTTAAGTTCTCTACACTTAAAACAAACAAACACACAAACAAAAATTGTCTCATAGATTTTAGTCCCACACAAAATTTCAAACAGGTAAAAGTCTCCTTACCCAGCTTTTATATAACATCTAAAGTTTAGTTTTTTATTACGGATTATCAACTAGTTTTGAAAATTCTGCCATTGCTTTGAATTATTTTTTTCAGCTAAGACAAACTTCTGTTAACTTGACTTTTCTAGAGATGCCACTGTTTCAGTTTCCCATCTGTAAGTGAGCACAGTAAATTGCTCATTTCACAGGACTGCTATAACTTAGAGATGCACAGACAAAAAACTTAGCACACATACTAATATATATATTAGATATAAAATAGTAACTGAAGTCCTGTCCCTGCTTGCCTCCCTCTATTCTATGACGGTGGCCTCCTGAATGATCTCTCTCCCAATGGTCTGTCTTCCCCAAAACCAATGACCACAGCAAGGCCAGAGTGAATTGTTAAAGTAAAAATTTGGCCAGCTTAAAGTATGGCATTAGGGTTGGCTGTTTCTGTCAAGGATGGAAGGCTGCCCCGTGCACTGCAGGATGCTGAGAGCGTCGCTGGCCTCTACTACTGAAGACCCTTTCTCTTACCTACACCTGCGATGATCAAAACTTTCGCCAAGTGACCCTGGAGGGAGGGGTCAAAATCATCCCTGTGAAGAATCCCTGACTTTTATAAAGAATTTTAATGACTACCCTGGAAAACTGAATCTTTAAATTCAATATAGCATAAAAGGTTCCCATCATCTCTCCCTGCCTAATTTTACAGCTTTTTTGAAGTCAGACTCTAGACCGTCTTTGAACTAAAAAAAAGTTTGGTTCCCTTCATATTCAGATATGTTTCATGCCCCATAGGAAAATCTGAGTCTTTTTTTGGGGGGGGCGGGGGTGCTGGGGTTGAACTCAGACTCTCATACTTGCTAGGCAGGTGCTCTACTGCTTAGAATTTGTACCACTTATTCTGCCCTCTGTTTATAAGTAGCCTGTTTCTTCTAGTCCAGTGGGTCTCAGATTTAAGTGTGTGTGTGTGAAAACTACTGGGACAATCACCAGAGTGCTAGGCTCAGCAGGCCAATGCCAGAGAATTTGGTGGTGTTTTTTTTTAATTAAAAATATTTTTTGTGGTGCTGGGATGAGCCCAGGGCCTTGTGTATGCTCTATCCCCAGCCCTGGGGTCTGCATTCCTAACAGATGCTTAGTATTGCCCAGGCCCTTTGAGAAGGAGGATTTTAGTTCCTCAGGGACTCCTTCTCACCCTTAAGACTTTGATGTGGAGTCTTCTGATTTAGGAAGCCTGCCATGACTGCTACGGGCAGTTTGTTCTGATTTCATAACACCTTTTTGCCACTGATGTTAACCTCTTGCCACACTACCATCTATTCATCTCTCCTCCCTTACTGGGAACTTTCCACTGAGAGCCTCACCCATCCTGAGGCCTGGCATACTTCAGGTCCCATGTAGATTCTCACAACCTACTTCAACCTACTTTTCTCAGTAAAGATCAACAAAATCCTACGATCTTAGAAATCCTTAGATCTCCCGCAGCCCAACATCATGACCTACTTTCTTAGAATCTTTTTACTTATCCATTTTCATCATTGCACAGGCCAGTGGAAGATTATTTAAGCAAACTAAGAGGAAAACTACCCGCTCATATTATTTCAATGTACATATACACAAGAGAAGCATCTCATTCTGAAGTTGAATGCATCACAGTTTTAATTCTGTAGAATTCATCAAAGTCAACTGCTCTGTGCTTGCAGAACCTAACCCGAGGGCAGCAGTGCTACCTTTACAGCATCATGAGGATTTATGACTCCAGGCCCCTGTGGGAGGCCCTGCATACCTGCTATATTCACAGCTTTGTGCACCAACAGCGGCTGGGTGAGTTTATCTGCCTGACCTAACCAGACACGTCAGGAAGCGACTCTCGTGCTATGGCTGGAAGTCAAGTTTCCAGATAAATAATTCAAATAGAATAGCCTCTGCCAAACTATTTTATCAGCATGGCTGGTTAGCCAAGTTTAAGAATGATTATCCCTGACAATAGAGAGCAAAGTTTTATGGGTAAATTAAGAGGGTTTAAAGAAATTGGAGTATGGATTGTTATAAAATGTTAACAACTCCCTGAGATTTACAGGAACTGGGTCTGCTGCTTAATGGCATTGGGTTTAGAAAACCTAGGCTCAAACCACCGCTCTGCTCCTTGCTGTTTGTGCAAACTCAGAAATTTGGTTTACTTGCAATGATAATAGTTACATTTGGGGGTTATTTGTCATGTCCTGTACATTGTGCTATGAACTTTACATATGTCTCACTTTCTCGCCACTTTACAGTCACAGAAAAGGAAAGCTCAGGCAAGTAAGCTGGTGAAGATCCCACAGATAGATAGTCAGTGTCAATGAGGACTTCAAGTCAGAGCTGGTAACTCTGAAGAGCAGCCACTCCCACCCTCACTATGCTCTGCTCTCTTTCCTCTTGTACTAAACCCTTCAGATTTCATGGAGCACAGGTGAAATCGTGGTTGTGAAAGACATGCACACATTATAAGCAGCAACCTATCAAATGGTGCCATTGTTGTTAAGTCTCTTTTCTTATAGGAAGTGCTTCTGATTGCCAGCCCCATTTATGACACTCTTCTTCCACTCTGATAGAAAGCTGAAAGGCAAATACTTGACCAGGGTCAGCCAATGAATAAGTGGAGGAGTCAGAATTTGACCGATACTGTTGGTTGTCTGAGGTATTGCAGAAGCATCATCTTCTGGCAGCCTTATTTTCAGAACAAAATTGCATAGAAACCAATAAATCCAGAAGCAGGGACATTCAGTATTTAGTGTATACAAAATCCACCTGCCACCTTATTAAAATGCAGGTGTCCAGGCCTAACCCTTCGAGTTTCTGATGCAAAAAGTCTTTGGAGGGGCTGAGGCTTGGCTCAAGTAGTAGAATGCCTGCCTAGCAACTATGAGGTCCTGAGTTCAAATCTCAGCACTGCCAAAAAAGCAGTCTTTGTGAAACAGAGTCAGAACTCTGCATTTTAATAGGCACTTTTGAAAAGTATGTAGCTTTTGATTCTCTAGTTGGTGTTGGCAGAACACTTTGAGAAACACAGAGAGGTCAAGTACATCTTTTCCCAGACTGAAGAAAGTTTTGATAGCCAAGATAAGTTATTCATGTGCAGTTTCCTTTCCAAGTGGTTTGACATGGATATTTGATATTTAATCATGATTAAATAGTTATTAATTTATTGAATGAGAAATACAAAAGAAGCAAAGTAAACTTCCTGTCCTCAAAGATAGGGCATGCCAACCACAAAAAAATAGAAATCATGCACACTTATGTGAATATTTAAAGTTTTCCTTATTTTGTAAAATTATGACTTTGAAGTTTCTCTCATTCCCTCCCACCTGCCCCCTGCCCAGGTTGTATCACTCAGCAGGAAGCCTCATGTTGTGCTACTGTCCTTAGAGATTCAACCAAGATCGCCTCAGCCAAGGTGGCTCCTCAGAGGACCATTTCCCAGAAGTCTTCAACCATGACAAGGAAATGTCTGTCAGCAGTCCCCAAGCCTGGGGTTGGACCAAAGACCCACAGCAAGGGGTGCAGAGCACGAGAAGCAGAGGCTTTGGACAGTCTCTAAAACAGGCAGTTTGTCCATATGTCCTCATGTCTGGTGGGTGCTTTGTGTACTTTGGTTGAATGCCAATGAATAAAAGAGGAACTTCTAGTTCACACCCCAGACCTAGGAATAATGTCTCACTCACATAAATTCTACTGCAAGAACAAGTTGTAGGGTTCTAAAAGCTATAGAGCTGAGAATAAACAAGCTTTTCCATGTCTAATCTGTAGACTGAGGTGACTTTCAAAACTCTCAAAGTAAAAGATCCCTGTGAATCAGAACCTCACAGAGAAAACCCAAGAACAGGGAAGGGGGACAAGTGACCTGAAGGTGTTAGGCCCTCTATCCCTAGATGACCATTCCCTGTAAGTCATTCACTATGGGTACTAAAAATACACAAATCCACATGGAATTAAAAACAGGTCACGGAGCTCCTAGAATCATCTCAGCAAGAACTGGCATGTGCCTCCCCTTCTTCTCCTCTCCCCCACCAAGAGAGGAGAAGAATTTAAGATCTAGCCTGTCTAAATCACTTTGTGTCATCTTGAAACTTGCAGCTATCAGCCTGACACTGCTAGGTTGATTCTATTCAGGTGTAATTGGCCTTGACACAGTAAGAGAATTCATGAACACACCTTCTCCTGGCAGCCAAACAAACCTTCTCAACAGACTAGAAATCGCCCCAAAAAACTGAGCTCAAGTCCAACTTTCCCATGGTCTCAAAGGTTTTCAGCAAAGCACACAAGATTAGGCAAATAGGCAAAAAATGAGGAAGCAGTGAGTCAGATCACTGTGTAAATGGCATAGTGTATTACTTATATTTAATAGTTATTTTCATCACCAATGATTTCCTTGTCTGCATCGAAGATTAGTCACCAGTGCTTACATACAGTCAAGTAAAAAACATTTCTTCTTTATCTTCCTTTTAAAAAATGTTTCATCCCAGTCACATGAGCCATAACTCTGTCATGCCCACAAAGGAATAGGCCAAGATGGACTATGACCTCACTGTTCACGGGACATGTAACATTGATCTGAAAGGAAGTTGCTCCAATATTACCAGGAAAATGCCTCATTGATGATTATTACATTCTCTCTGTAATCATTAACATAAAAGACATGAAAGTTATTAAAAGATTCTGAAAACCCCCAGGATGGATTCTGAGACACTACCTGACTTTTCTTTGGGAAGGACAGGGACCATGGTTGACCCACCACTTTGATGGGAAGTCTTAGGAAGCCCACATTGATCTCACAGGGTCATTCCCTCAATCATAATGAAGTTTCTTGATCATGGCAAATCCCGGTGCTCTCTTAGGTTCTCTAAGTAACTTTACAGTTTTAAATTAGGAATTGTTAGTTGGTTTCAAAAGAAGAAAAAAAAATCAAATGGGAATGGGGGTGAGCTAAAGAGTAGCTCTCTTAAGGACAGAGGCTTGTGGAAGTCCTAAGGTGACCCTCTGTTTCCACCATGGGCCTCTTGTTGCTCTGAACTGCTGACACTTTTACCTTACACTTTTGCTTTTTGATGGGCATAGATATTTGCAATGTAAGCCTTGGCCAATGATGCAGAATATCAACAAGGCCACTCAGGATTCTGACCTGCTATCCTGCATCAAAAATCTTAGAAGCATTTTGTTTCCAATAGAGATTTTCACAAGTTGATGGGCAGGTATAAGTCATAGGCCCCAAAGATCAAATGGATCTAAGCTGTGCGGGAGGTCTCTCTTGTTGGCTCTGCTTTCTGAGATGATAATGCTCCCCACAGTGAGAGACCCACACTTGAAGTTTCAGAGGAATGTGGTAAGTTGTAGTTCTGGGAAAAGGCACCTACATTGAGAAAGACAATTAAAGGGGAAGAGAGGACACCTGACACTTTTAGGCATATCTACAACTTTGAACTGTTGGAGACTGTATTGCTTGCTTTCACAACATCAATCAACATCATGAACACATAAATGTACTGCCAGGCATGGTGGTGCACATCTGTAATCCCAGAATTTGGGAGGCTGAAGTAATAGGATAGTGAGTTCAAATCTAGCCTATGCTACATGTTGACTTCCATGAGTCAGCAGTTCTAAATAATAGTGATTAAATTCTCCTCCCCCCTCCACAAATTGGTTTTTGATCTAAGTTCTAAACAAATACTATGGATACTGTTGAGTATTTGACTTTCTTTAATGGTCGTTTTTTTCTACGTGGAAAGTAATGCAAAGAACTCCTTATGCTATCATTTGGATGTGGCTTGAGTGTGTCCCCAAGGATTTGTGTGTTGGGAGCTTGGTCCTCAAGTGTGGCAGTGTTGGGAGGTGGTGGGCAACCTTGAGAGGTGGAGCCTAGTACGAGGTCACTGGGAGCATCACCCCCAGAAGGAATCAATGTTGTTCTGGAACTCTGGTTAGTGGTCATAAAAGCATTTCTACAGATGTATGGAAATTTATATGAAACTAATTCTTTGATACTTGCCACTTGGTGAGAGGTCAATTTTTGTCAGTATTCAATGTACTTAGAAATTTGTATATTCTTTAATTAGTGGGTATGGAAATAAAATCTTGTGTTCAATAAATCAAACTTGACAATTGTATTTTAAAAATGACCTGAGCCTTGAATTGCTTCCTGGCTTCCTGATGTGACATACGAGCTCTCTCTCACACACACATGCTCCTGTCATTATTACAGATGCTGTGATCTGATGTTACTAGAGGAGGCTTGTTAGAGCCAGTGACCGTGTGGCGTTGCTAAGATTTGTATTCTGTAAGATGGTGAAATTCAGAAAACCTCTTCTCTTTATGATCCTCAGCCTCAGGCATTTCATTATAGCAACAGAAAATGGGCTAATACACCATGGTATATTGTTGGCTCCTGACACACACAGTATTAGCTGACATGTCTGTAACCCCTGTGCAACTATATATTCTTATTTTCAAACAATAAACTTGACCAACAATTGCAAAGACAAGAAACAGAACTTGAATTACTTCAATTCGTCATATAACTTATATCAGAGAAGAAGTCTTTTATTTTCTTACAGTGCTGGGGATCAAATCCAGGGCCTTGCTCATGTTAGGCAAACACTCTACCACTGAGCCACATATCCAGCCAATGTTTATATAATTTATGTGCAACAAATGCCCTCAGTTAAAGTTTCACAAATTCTGACAAATGCAGTTACATACCCAACACCGCGGTCATGAGATACAGCATTTCTATTTCTCCCAAACCCCCTCCAATGGTGATCACTGATCTGCATTTAGCTTTATAAGCTTTTACAGTTTTTTGTCTTTTCCAGAATTTTATGTAACTAGCTGGAACCAGAATAGCTGGTCTTTTGTGTCTGGCCTCTCTCACCTCATATGATGTGTTAAGAATTCATCATTATATATATTAGCAGTCTATTCCCTTTCATTGTTGAGTAGCGTTTTGTTGTAGAAATACACCATAAATTGGTTACCCATTGGCTAGTTGATGAACATATGGCTTGTTTCTAGTTCAGAAGTATTATGAATTAAATCACTATAAATATTTGAACATAAGTCTTTGTATGAACATCAAGTGTTTATCCTGGATGGATACATATAAATACAATTATTGGGTGATATGGGACATTTAAATTACATTTAAATAAATAAAACACTGCTATAGTGTTTTCAAAGTTGCTATGCCATTTTGCATTTCCAGTAATAATATGGAAGCATTCTAGTTGCTCCATATTCTTGCAAGGTAAGATATTTTAAATTTTGTATTCTAGTGACTATTGATGCTGGGCAGAGAACTTGGGTTGTGGAATATCCTGCCACTATTATTTATGGCCACCTTCCCAGTGAGAACCCTGGCAAGTTTCAGGAGAGTCATGAAAGACTTGAGGTGGTGATGGTGATAACCTTGGAGGTTTGATAGAAAACAGTGTCAAGGTTTAGCAGTTTACCCTGACAAGGCACCTCTCCGGCTTACTGGAGGGAAGGAGGAGAAAAAGAAGCCATCCCTGGGCAGAACTGCAGTACAGGCTCATTTACTGTTCTCATCAACACCTCACCTTTCTTCTTCAGGATCAACAACTAATATCCCTCCACCGTCACCAAAATCTTTATCGCACCTCTTTAGTTATCTATTTCTGCATAATAAATAACTTGAAAACTTACTGACTTAAAATGATATTCACTGTCACACAGTTTTAGGGTCAGGAATTGGGCATGGATTCATTGGGGCTTCTGGCTCAGTCCCATACAAGGATGCAATTAAGGTATTGGCTGATCTTGTGGTCTCATGTAAAAACCCATCCAGGCATTGCCAAGTTCACTCATGTGATCACTAGTAGAGTTAAGTTCTTTGGGAACTGGTGGACTCAGAGCCACTGTTCTTTACTTGCTGGAAGCTGTCCTCTGTTCTGTCACATAGACTCCTCAGCAAGGCAGCTGAACATGGTGACTCACTTCATCAGAATTGGAGATCAAGGGCATGCACATAAGGTGGAAGTCACAGCCTTTCATAACCTAATCCATCACATTTGTGGGCTATGGTCTACTCATTAGAAATGATGGTTCCAGATCCACCCCACTCATCAGGGTAGGGGATTACCCAAGAATTTCTAGAAGGTGGGGCTCTTTGGGAGCCATTTCAGAAACTGTCTACCAAAACCAGGACTAGGGTACAGTGAGTGACTTGCACTCGTAGGAGTGCAAAATTGAAGGAAAGTCTTGTGTTTGCACAACCCCAATAGTGAATCTCACCAGACTTCTCATTCACCTTACCCTAATTCTGGCCCTCTGCCTGCCATGTGCAAACTCAGAGTGCAACATGCTGACTTCTCCCTCAGTCAGGGTTCCTTGCTGAGATACCCAGGCTGAGCCTGCTTAGCAGACGACTGGCCCACTGCACACTTCTTCCTAACTGACCTGCTCTTGAAACTTGGCTGCTTTGCGTTCCAGTTCCCCAAAGCACAATTGAAGAAAACTGATAACAGGTAAGTCCAAAACACTTAAGCTTTAATACTTTATTCTTGAATAATCTACATACATAGAGTA